TTAAGATGTTTGTTGACATATCAAATAATAATCTAATCAAGATGATGCAGTACACACTTAACCAAACAATTAGAATAGCAATAAAATAGTAAAGGTACTAATACATAAATATGTTGGTCTGAAAATATATAGAGTACTTGGCTAATATTTGGGAAACATAAATTGTATGTTGATATCCCCTCAAGTTTCATCTACTCAAAATAGATATTCTCATAATTCATAAAATGAGAATTCAAATATTCAAGGTGAAATTTGATGAGAAAAATGCACTTTTTTATGTATTAAATTTGTACCCGGGTTATCATTGCATAAATAGAATATGAACAGTAGTATAGATATGAACATAGGTATTTCTCAAAAACTCCTTCATATCTACAATAGCACATAGAGATAAAAAATTGTATAATATTATCCAGATGAAGTAATTTTATAAAATTCTAGAAAGGAGAATATAATAGCATTTTTATGCCCCATATAATAAAATAATCTTTAAATTCTGGCCAGACAGGTAACTAAATAAGTACAAGCTCATAGAATTAAAGTTGTAAATATATTTTATGTTTGAATATATTAGATAGTTTGAATTCAGAATAAGAATATTTGGTTAAGAAGGATATGATAAAAAAATCAGCAGAACATCATTGTGGGAATGATTAATAAAATCCACACAGCCATATATATGCAAGTGACCTTAACAAAGGAAATAATGAAATCTCTCCAGTTTTGTGCTCCTCTGATTCAGTACTGTCGTTCCCAATGGCCTCAAGATGATCACATGCCTGAAGGACACATTGACAGAAATATGGTCTCGCTCCTGATCAGAAATGATGACCCAGCATAATAGGGCACCTAGAGACTGCCAAGACAGTTCGTCATTCCCTTTTAGATTGTGTGGCATATCCTTAGCTTAGAGAATCTGACTCTTCTCCACTCTCCTGGACCTAACTGATAACGGATCAGGGAAATGTGAGCAGTAGCAGTCAAACAAATTTTCTTCTTTATCCAGAAAATATGTTTAAGTGTGTTTCTTGTCTTTGGGTACAACCAAAATGAAAGTATCTAAGTAAGATCTATAGTCATGTTTATAGTCCAAAGAATAGCTTTTGGCGAACATCAAGCTAATTAATAAGAATGTGTAAGGTCAAAGTTAATTTATGTGTGTGTTAAGTGGCATCCAACCATTAACCCTTATATATGACAGTCCTCATGTTAACTGAATATCCATTTTACACAAAGATAGTTTGAAGGAGACAACTATAATAAATCATAAAGGTGTATTATTCCAAGGTCAACACTGCAAAAAGATTTCAGGAGAAACAAAAATTATACACACACACACACACACACACACACGTGTATATATGTATACATATATATGTATATATACAGACATGTATATATACATATGTATATACATATACATACATACGTATATATACATATATACATATACAAAAGCTTTGAAATCTTAACCTCAAAATTCTTTGTCACAACATTGCATACTTCCTATTCCCACAACTAGTATTTGTCATTTATCTTGTTGAAAGTGCTTAAAAATAAAATTTTGTTTAAAAAGAAAATTCACCATGATTATTATTGTCCCTGTAATAGTTTACCATTATGCAAAGTTGACAAATGGCAATACAGAAGAAAATTTATTCCCAGCATCTTCCTCTCTCTGAGCTCTTTCATACCCATGTTTCCATCCAGGTTCCTACTATGTTCTTTCCATTCTCACCACAATCAAAGGAGTATTTTCCATCATTAAAGCACAAACTTATCTGTTCTCTGTCCCATTCTCTAGGGGATGATAAGTAAATGAAAATTATTTAGAAAGTAAATGTAAAGAGGTTAACTAGACATTATACTACCATCTCTTGGTAACATACATTTAATTAGAACAGTGTTTCTCAAACTTTTGTGGTCATTAGAATCATTGAAAAGATCCTTAAAACACATATTGATGGGCTCCATCACAAGACTTTCTGATGCATTAGGTCTCAGGTAAGGCCCAAAAATTTGCATTTGTAATTGTACCCAGGTGATGCTGAGGAGCAGTTGGTGCTTTAAGAACTGAGTTAAAATTTTAGAGGCACATGGGTGGCTCAGTCAGTTAAGCGTCCAACTTCAGCTCAAGCCATGATTTCAAGGATCATGAGTTTGACCCCTGCATCAGGCTCTGTGCTGACAGCTCAGAACCTGAAGCCTGCTTTGGATTCTGTGTCTCCTCTCTGCCCCTCCCCCGCTCACCTACTGTTTTCCTTCTCAAAAATTAACAGTTTAAACAAACAAACAAAAAAGACTGGGATAAAATTTTAATTCAGTAGGGCAATTAAATAATGAGATATCTGACTACTCAGCATGTTCTCTATTTACCTTCATATTACAAGATAAGCCTAAAATTAAGGCCAGCCCTCTAGCCCTACACTTAATATAACACTTAAATTGTTTTTAATTTTTATCAGCTTGCTTTGTATAGCATATAAACAAATAAGATAAAACAAATACCTTTCCAAAACACAAAACAATCTTATCTGAAGTCAACTGCAATGTTTGCTGGTTACCTAGAACACTTAGCTCTTTAAGATACTGCTAAAGAGCACATTTCTTCCCCAATTCCTGTTTATATGAACAGTTAGGTGTCTTCAATCTTTCCTCATATATTCTTACACAAACAGAATCATGCTTACTGAGTGACTTCTGATTTTCAAAATTGGAGTTACACTATTGACCCAATTACATAGAGTAAGATCATTGACTCTAGACTGATGTTCAAATGTAATTCTCAGCCACCTAATAAATATTTAATATGCCTGGAAAATTTCCAAATTGTCTAAATTTTCCATTGTTTATTATATTGAACTTTTCTTCATATTGAAAAAGAAATGAATAATAACTCTTGAACAAATACATTATTTTTTTTCCCTAAACAATCAACTCATTATCTTAGCCACTTATTATTTACTCATTTCTACTAATGCATGCACCAAAAGTATTATAAGACTTTCTGGCAGAATAGGGAATAATGTTCTTGAAATAACAGTGTTGTGTTTTGGTATGACATAAACTAACTGTCATAATCATAAGCAATCACAGTGTGAGCTCACTTAATAAATAAAGTATGTTTAAGTGTGGCATAATTTTGATTGAATAACTTAAAACATATTTTAGTAGTACTAATGTTAAATTAATAATAAGTAGGAGAGCTCCTTATTTCTTTTTAAGTTTATTTATTTTGAGATACTGAGTGAGCATGAACAGGGGCGGGGCAGAGAGGGAGGGAGAGAGAGAATCCCAAGTCGGCTCTGTACTGTCAGCACAGAGTCCCACCCAGGGCTTGAACTCAGAAACTGTGAGATCATGACTTGAGCTGAAACCAAGAGTCGGGCACTTAACCAACTGAGCTAACCAGGCATCTCAAGGAGAAAGCTCTTTAAAGACTGATTTTCTGTATGCAAAGATTGTTCAAATAGAACATATTATAGAATAACATAATTCATGTATTATAAAATGTTTAAAATATTTTCATTTTTTTCTTTAATGTAAATAGAGGAAAAATCATTTAATAAACTATAATTCTTCCTATGAAAGTTTTAACCAGGTTATTTTTAGATTCCTACTTTAATCATTCATTCTTTCTCTATCCATTGCATTTCTAAAATTCTTCTTCCTGTCATTATTTCCATGCAAGTAGCAATTTAGCCAAAAACTCTGTTCTTCAGTAAAAAAACTATATTTGAAAGGAAAGAATAAAAAAGTAAAATGTTAATGAAGGATTCTATAAATTCTGAATAATTTGCATTTACCATTATGTCATCAATTCTATAGCAATCATGATCAAAATAAGTTATATAATCAGTCTTCCTTTCTTCATCCAAAATATCCAAATTTAGTTCACATGTTTGGCCAACTATGAAGCTATTTCTAACTTAAAATTATATATTTATAACCACTGTCAATGAACAAAACAAATAATTTTAGTAACCTGAAAATATCAATCTTATTTTTATTTAGTATTTGAAGGCAATTTTAATTTAAATATCTTAATATCAAGAAACATTACCACTGAGTGGCCTCAAAAACACATAAAATCATTACATATTTTGATGAAAAATATATATGATATTAATTTAGGTTAAATTCATAGTTTAAACTCCTTTATCCCACTATGAAATGATAGTTACTAATTAGCACTACTTGTTTATAGGCACGAATAGCAAAATTCATGATTAGAAACCTTGTTCCAAACCTCCTACCATACCCTTTGTGAACTATGAACGACATGGACTGAAAAGATATCTGCAGGATTGTGAGGACCAGCTTACAAAATAAATTCCTACAAAGTGTTTTTTCTGTTTTGTTTTGTTTGTTTTTTGGAGCAGGATGATAATTTTAGGTTGTTAACAATTACCTTTTTCCCATCTTGGGCTGGGGGTAAATCATTGATGAAATTGAAGCATTCTAAGAAACAATTTCTAATGGCATTTAGTGAGTTACTGAATAAGATAAGTCAAAATTAAATTAATAAATTAGCTATGTTTTCCAAAAATAAGGGATTGCGCAAAAAAACTAGATGAGTGGAGGTAGATATAAAGGCTGTATATTTACTGAGCTCCAACGAGAGTGAGAGTTATGGTGTTATTTATTACAGAGATTTGATGATATGGTCCACTGTTCACCTGAGACCACCAAACATAGCATTCTTAAACCTGCTTCCTATCTCAGTTTTCAGTCACTGAGCATTTCCTTAGTATGTACTTCTGTTCAGCTGAGATACAGTATTATGGTATCCTTCAGACTGCACTTACAATACCTGTAAATAAAAGCAAGGGCATCACAAGGCATTATTTCCCATAAAATGAGTAAGTAGTAGATATTTAAGTCCTTTATAGTGTTCCTGAATATAACACATACTACAGTAACCATACACACATATGTGCATGCCTATTGCATTATATTGATAATGAAAGCATATTTGAAATTTTGTATATTTTCCTTACCTGTCAAGTTCTTTAGTCCAAGTTCTTGAAGTCCAAAGTTCCCATCTTTTCTGTAGTTTAAAAATACTGCCAAGGCATACCGATCCTCATAAAGTTTTGTTCCACGGATAATGCGTAAATTCTCCAGAGGCAGGTAGCGAAACTGATTAAGAGCCACTAACACGTAGCCTGTAACTTCTCGAATAGACTGAAAAGACACAAACAATTCCTTTTGTTAAAAAGTTAGAGATTATTTGTCAGTATGTTTATGTTGTCATTTAGATTAAAATAAGTTATTCAATTCTACTTTTTAGCTTTTAATTTAATACACTAATTTCCACATTATATCGTAAATAATTACTTGGATAATATAAGATCACAGATCGCAGAGGGTTAGAAAAGTCCAAAGTGTGTTTACAGTAAAATAATGGATATTTTTGATGAAACATTCTTCCTACCTAGAATTTGAATATAATTTAAGGAATAAATATCTCATTCTTTGAAAGACTAAAGTTCGGTAAGAATGCCTAGCCATCAACCTAACTTTTTATAAAAAAAAAAAAAAGCAAATGAATGAGCTTATCACAAATAAAACAAAGCTGCATATAGTTTGTAGACTACGGGACAGATTTTAAACCTTATTGGTGCTTAATGCTATAGTTATCAAAGTTAACATATACATCTCTGGGAAACCCATATATGAAAAATACATTTTAAAGACTGATAATGATCTCTAATTTAATTACAACTACAATTTTTATTTTTACTGTCTATTGTTTAATGTAATATAAGCTAATGACTGGAAGGATTGTAACACCTTTTTAAAGCAAAAAAAGTCACAAAAAACAGCCCTCAGGCTTCATCTAAAGTTACAGTTTTTCAGTAAAATAAACAAGATCATGACAGTTATGAACAATAAGATTTAAAAAAATAAATATGCAAAAGTGGTAAAATGTTTGAAGATGTTATTTTAAAAAATAACTTTATTTCTTTTGAGAGAGAGAGAGCAATCAAGGGAGGGGCAGAGGGAGAGAGAGAGAATCCCAAGCAGGCTCTGAGCTGTCATGACATAGCCCAATGTGGGGTTCAAACTCACGAACCATGAGATCATGACCTGAGATGAAACCAAGAGCTAGATGCTTGACCAACTGAGCCACCTAGGCGCTCCTGTTTGATGTTATTTTAATATCAATTTCATGTCAGTTTAGACCTCTTATCTTATCTCTCCTCTCATTCCCTTGGTGACTTTATCTACTTTCAAGTTGGATGATCTCCAAACTTTTGCCTCTAACCTGTCTGCTAAACTCCAGACTCAAATCTAACTGCATACCCCACACCTTCACCTGAATGCCTCATAGACTTCCTAGATACACCTATCCAAATCTGAACACCCATCTTCCTTGCCCCCATCCTCCAGCAGTCTTTCTCATTTCATTCAATCCATCCTTCCTATTATTTAGGCCAAAGTCTTGGGGTCATTCTTGACTCCCCTCTCACACACCAAATGCAATCTATCCTATTTGTTGTACCGTTAAAATGATCAGAGGTTCAACCACTTCTTATGTAAGCCACTGTTTTCATCTGAGCCATGATTGTTCCTTATCAAGATTACTGCAATAGGTCTCTATTTTTTATCCCTTATCATGCATTCTCAATTAAGGCTGGACCTGATCATTTTTTTAACGTTTATTTATTATTGAGAGACAGAGAGACACAGAGCCTGAGCAGGGGAAGGGTAAAGATAGGGGAGACACAGAATCTGAAGTAGGCTCCAGGCTCTGAGCTGTCAGCACAGAGCCTGACACGGGGCTCGAACTCATGAACTGTGAGATCATGACCTGAGCTGAAGTCGGTCGCCTAACCAACTGAGCCACCCAGGCACTCCTGACCCGATCATTTTTTAAACAAAAATCAAATCATGACACTTCAATTCTTAAAATCCTGAACCATCTCCCAAGTCACTCAAAGTAACAGACAAAATTCTTTCAATGATGAGTCAAAATCTATCTTTTCTTCACAGTGTAGCAACAACTAGACATATCTGGTTATCAAAAAATTGCAGTGTAGCTGGTATTAATTGAGAAGTGTGGTAAGTATAAAATGTACTCTTGGTTTCAAAGATTACAGGTTGAAATGATAACATTTTAGATAAATTGAGTTATATAAAATGCATTATTAAAGTTCATTTTAACCTTCCTTTTTATGTTTTTATTATGGCTACACAAAAATTTAAAATTATACCTTTATGGCTATCATTATAGTTCTGATGCACAGTGCAGCACTACGTGATCTGGTCATCATTTCTTTTCATAACTTCTTTTTTTTTTTTTTTTTTAACTCTCTACCTTGCTCACACCATTCCAGTTTTGCTGGTCTCCATGTTCTTATAACATGCCAAGTGTGGTCCTACTTCAAGGTGCTCACTATAATCTTAAAGGCCTGAGTTTCTCTCCCTTTTGTTATCTTCTTGGTTAATTTCCTCAATGTCTTCAAGTTTTTGTTTTTTTTTTTTCCCTCTCAAATTTCACCTTCTCAACTGAAGCCAATGCTGACTGACCTACTTAACATGACAACTCTCCCACCTTTTCCTGCTCTAATTTTTATTGTCTCTACAGTACTTTTCATGTTCTAATGTACTATATAGTGCATACACTTACTACATTTAGTAATTTATAATCTATCTCTCCCTTTCTCAGAATATAAGCTCTGCAAGGGCAAGCACTTCGATTTGTTCACTCATGTCTCATGCGATCACAGTACAGACACATAGAGAGAAACCAATAAATATTTGCTGAGGACTCTGGCTCTTCTCTGGCCATACCCCACACCCTGCCCCCAACAGGCAAAGTCTACAGAGAAGTACCCATGTGGACCTGTGATCCTTTCTTCTAGAGAAGATTCTTGTGATCCCAGAAGTTCATCCCCAAATAGCCCTAAGCCCACATCAAGAGCCTATGATATCATCTTTCTAGTTCTGTCTCCCAGTCAGCAGACTGTGAGAGCAATGTGTATATACCTAGCAAGGATGGGTGGGCCAGGTGTAGATGTTTGAGGAAAGAATGCACGGATGCTGGATGTGTGAGTTAAGTGTCCTTTCACTGTGTTCAAAGCCTCCTGTGATACTGGACAGAACTAGTTAAAGGAGGAGTGGCTGAAGGATGGAGTCTACCTCTCCCCGTGCCATCATACTCCTGAGGAGTCCAAAAATTCTAACATTTCACCTGTCCATCCAAGTTATTATAAAGATATTTCTGTCAAAGTGGGAGGATAGGTCATATTTTAATAAAAATTATTTGATTTATGATAAATAATAACGACACAAAATGTGTAGGCCTTCATTTATACTCTCACCTCAGGTCCCACAATTGTTAGGAATGAACCTGCTACCACTGATTACCTAGAAAAGTAGACTCATAATGAAGCAAAGGTAGAGATGAAAGGGCAAGGAACCCATGAAACTATTCATGTCTGGCACTGGATTGGGAACCCTAAGTCACTCTTGCTCTCACATCCCTAGTACACTGAGCATTTTGGCTTAAAGAGATGAATGCTTGGGGAATAGAAAAAAAAGAGATGAAAAGTAAACAGTTGCATGCATTGTGTGCATACCACTTTTGTTTGAAGTTGCACTTGCCTGGAATAGTTTAGACCTAGAGCCTTACAAATACTCCTTCAATCACTGTTCCAACGGTTGAACTCTTATCCCTTTGTGTTCTTAGAAGAGAGATCAAAAACATTTTCTAATACCATTTGTTCCAAACAGTAAAATTGTTTCATTCATTATAAAAATACTTTATCCTTTAACTTGTATGTAATAATGATTAAGTGGTCTAAGTCACAATGATAGCACAAAGATAAACACTGGGGATGGAGGATGTAATGTCAATCTTTTGTCTAGAACATGTCATAGCATCGATCATTCTTCCTAACATACTCACCATTAGCTCCAACTTCCTTGGAAATTGACTCTAGACTTTTAGTACAATGGTAAGAAATGTGGGCTGAACTGCCAAACAAAGCTGGGCTCAAAACACTTCACACTTACTTGCCTTCAAACTTACTAAGTTGTTATTTTGCTAAAATTGTTTACCCTCACTGAGCCTCAGTTTCTTCATCTTGAAATAAAAGATAGCAATACCTCTATTACAAAGATTTTATAAGGATTAAGACGATGTAAGAAAGTGTCTGGCAAATAGTGTTCAACAGATGCTATCTATTACTAATATTATTATCTCTGATAATAGCCAAAACTATCTGTAGACAATCTTATATGAAAATAAAAATTATTATAGCATTATTGCATAAGAACCATTGCTTTTAATCTATTTGTTATATAGCCTTTATATCGTGTTTATATCTTGCCTCTTCAATCTGTAATGTATTCCTAAATTACAGAACTGGTTCCTTAAGCTGTTTGTGTGTATGTTATATTATCACCTTTAATACAGACTCTGGCACTGAACAACATTCAATAATGGCTGTTGAATGAAATGGAACTGAAAAGTAGAAAACAATGCTTAAGGTCTTTTTATATATTGTTTTCCATTGAAAATGATTTTACTAACTTTCTGCTAATAAAAAAAAAACAATGTTTGAACAATATAATCATGACTTTTGCCCAAGGACCACAGTGGTAAGTAGAAATCATCAGAATGCCCCAGCAAAAAGAAAATCCTGACTCTGGTTCTGGTTCAGTACATTTAGTTCCAGGAAACTGCCTATTTTGTCAACCAAAGAGTGAGTACCCACCTAAATACATCTCTCTCTCCTTGTGGTGGAAGTTTCTGCTGCCTAAAACTGATTGATTTCCATTGTCAATGTATGCTTCTACAGCTGCTTTGTTCAAGAAGTGAATATAACTGAAGATCATTAAAGCCTTAAATGCTTCAAAACTCTTCCAACCCAAGGGAGAATTTGTTCTGCTTAGGGCATTGGATGATGGAAACCACAAGAATGAAGAAGAAAAAGAAAAAAAAAATTGACCAGCTTCCCATATTATCCTATTAACAATAAACCAAGGAAAAATACCCAGTTTGTTTTAAAGAACAGAAATGTATTACTGTTTCTCCCATAAGATATTTGAAGAAAAAAATGTGAAATCTGAAATAATAAAGTTCCCAGGATTTTCAATGGGTGTCATTCAATCAAAAATTAGAAGAGATAGGGCAGCTTCACTGTACTTTCCATTTACCCCCCGTTGATTCAAGA